TTTTTTCTTCTGTTTTCAAATTCTCAAACCCCTTTGTCTTCAGCCGCACCCGGTCCTCAGCCCTTGGCAAGTACTGATCTGTTTTCTGTCCTTGTGATTTTTGCCTTTGCCTGGCTTACCAGCACTTATCAGCTACATTTTTCTTAATTTTTTAGTTTTATCTGTCATAAAGAAAAACAATCTGAAAAGCCGGATCGTTTCTACAAGGTGTGTCACGAGAAGCAGCCGTCCTTTCCTGCTTCTCATTTCTGAGGAGTGCCAGCTCTCTCCACTCTTTCATCCACACACCTCTTCATCTCTGAGTATCTGTGCGTTTAGGACTTGGTATTTCCCTTGTCAGTTTCGTGTGTTGACTTCTTACTGTGAAAGGATCTAACTCTCCTTCATGCCACCAACCTTCTTGTCCCTAATGTCAGTAACTCAGTGGAGATGCAGTGGCTTTTTTCAGAGCTCTTGTTTGGGTTATTATCATGCCCGTGCACCAGCAGCAGAGCTGCACCCTGATCACATTTCTTTCCTTGAATACTGTGTGTTTCTAGAGCTGATTCTTTTTTTCTTTTCACACACTCCTGTTGATGTGCATTTCAGTGGCCTCACCTGTGTTTCCTACTCAAGGTTTCTGACCGAAGCTTTTACCTTCTTTTAATATGTCCTGCTGTGAAATAGTAATTGTCGTTACTCAACTATGTTGTAATTACCACTGAGGGTCTGCCCTGCCCCTCGTGGTGGGTGCCTAGGTTGCACCGTGCCACCTCACAGCTGCAGACCTCAGTTGTTCAGGAGGGACACCTCTGCCCTCCCCTCCTCCCACCCTCCAAGGTCTTCTGTAGTTGGTCTCCCTGTGCCAGAGATGTCCTGTCCGCCCATTAGTTTCAGCAAGAGCTGAGTGCCCGCCATTCAGGGCTCCTCACAGCAAAACCACGAGCAGCTCCTGTGGACTCCAGATTTATCCTGCATCTCTCCATCTCTGCCCATTTCCACTGCCCCCTCCCACTGGTCCTCCCTGTGCCCATCTTACCCATCTGGCCTCCCTCCTCACCTAGCAGCTCTAGAAGCACAAAGCACGGTGACCTTTAAACCCTCCAGTGTTTCCTGTTGTCCCTGGAGTCAAACCCAGGTCCTGCCTGGGGTGCATGGAATCCCCTGGAATCCTGGCTGCGTCTAGGATCCTAGCACCCCAGGGCACCTTTTAAGAAGCCCTAAGCCTGGGTCCTGGACATGGCCTCTGTATTTTAAGTTTCCCCGGGAGTCCAGTGGGAGCCCAGGGCTGAGGGCCTGCCCCACTGCCCTCTCTGTTCGGCCTCCTGCCTGCCTCCTCTCTCATGGCTATGGCTGCGGAAGCACTTCCGTTTCTTCTTTGAACCCCAAGCTTAGGCTTAACACACCTTTCTCACAGAACTTGTTTCTGTCTGGAAGTTTCTTTCCCTGGATATTTTCATGGCTGGATCCTTTTAGCTTCTGAGTGAACTCTCTTAGATGGCCTTACCTCATGGATGTCCCTTGTCACCAGCCATGTCACCAGCCATCCTCAGCTGTTACTCCCCTTGAGCACTCCTTCCTCTGAGTACCGACGTGATCTCAGATCACCTTGCGTCTGTGTTTGTTTTTACACTGGACTGGAATCCACATGGTAACCTTGCTCTCCTCCACACCACGCTCCTTAGATTAGTGTTTAATAAGTTATCTGTTGAGTGACAGCAGGAGCCTGGTAAGGTATCCCTAGGCAGAAGCCAGAACGTGCAGTGGCCCCAGGGACACTTGGTAGGTGAGGTGAAATGAGAAGATGGTAGAGTCTGGACTGACGGGGATGAGAAGAAACCAGGAAAAGTAGGTACCTTTGATAAGGAACGAGGCATTTTGATATTTTTGAATCAGAGAAGGCAGTTTTATTCTGGAGGGGACAGTTCCAGGAGAACAGAAATGATTTGTGATCCTACTGGAAGAACTGCTCTGAGCATAGACTCACTTGGTGGTCACGATGGTTGGGGTAAACTTCCTTTTGAGATTGTCCTTTCACCTAAACGCAGGTAAGAATCATTCTTCTGAACTCACCTTCCCCTTCATCTTAATAACGTAATAATTTAAGAAAGCTTCTGGGGGCTGGTGGGGAGGGGAGCTCAATGGCAGAGCACTTGCCTAGCCTGTGTGAGACCCTGGGTTCCATCCCCAGCGCTGCATAAAAAGCAAGCATCCGAGGTTCTACCAGTCCGTTAGCGCAGCCTGTTCATTACAGCTGTTGTTGATAGGCACTCTCTGCCTCTTCGCCTCATGACACAGCTCAAAGCCTAATAGCTTACTGTATTTAATTATGATTATCTTACATTCATATTTGGAATTAACTGGAAAATGGGGCTCTTGCTTGTATTTCCGTTCAGGTTTGTCATGTGAAAGCAGCAGACACACTTGTGAGCTATTACCCTGTCCTTTGCAGTTATTAGCAATGGAGTTTGTGGAGCAAGAGTATGATTAAAACCCCAGAGACAGACGTGTTCTGCTACTGCCGATGCCAAGGAAAATGAGTGTTTGCTTTTGAAATCCAGCATGATTATTTTGTGCACCATAATTCTGGAGAAAAAGCAAGGACGTTAAAGTTTTTCAAAAATGACAGGTTTAAGAAACATAATTCTGTGATGATTGGCTGTGCAGAATACTGTTTTCAGAAGTGCAGATAAATTCTTCCTGAAAGTGGATCCAAGTCTAAATTGTGACATCTTAGCTTTATAGGGCCTCTTAGAAGCTGAGAACTGCTTGAACAAGACTAAACTGTAGTTTCTCAGCATGGGCCCTGGCTCTGCCTTGACCCAGGGTGAAATTGAAGCCAGTCACTTGTCCAAAACCATTTTCAAAATGTTCAACATCTCTAGCAATTAGAGAAATGCAAATTAAAAACTGGAGCGATTCCTTCTCATTCCAGTCAGAATGGCAGTTATCAAGAATACAAATAACAATAAATGTTGGTCAGAATGTGGGGAAAACGGTACACTCATACATTGCTGGTAGGACTGCAAATTGGTGCAATCACTCTGGAAAGTAGTATTGATATTCCTCAGACAACTTGGAATGGAACCACCATTTGACTCAGTTATCCCCCTCCTCGGTATATATCCAAAAAAAATTAAAAATCATCACACTGTAGTGATGTGGCCACATCGATGTTTATAGCAGCTCAATTCACAATAGCTAAGCTATGAAACCAACCTAGGTACCCTTCAACAGATGAATGGATAAAGAAAATGTGGTCTATATACATAATGGAATATTACTCAGCCATAAATAAGAATGACATTGTGACATTTTCCAGTAAATGGATGGATCTGGAGATTAACAAGCTAAGTGAAATAAGCCAGTCCCCAAAAGCCAAAGGTTGAGTGTTTTCATTGATATGTGGAAGCTAACCCACAATACAGAGGGAGAGGAGAATAGAAGTTCAGTAGATTAGACAAAGGGGAATGAAGGGACAGGAGGGGGAATAGGATAAGGAAAGACAGTGGAATGAATCTGAAAATTTATCCCTGTGTACATATATGTGTACACCATGTGAATCCCACCATTGTGTACATCCATAAGAATGGGGTCCCAACTAGAATAAGATATAGATCAGAATGAATTCTACTGTCTTGTATAACTAAAAAGAACCAATAAAAAATAAAAACCCATTTTTATGTTTTAGCAGAACCAAGCGAGTGCGTGTGGGTGGGTACAGACCCTGGAGCCCAGGGGGGGCGGGGTGGCCGGGGGAGCGTTCAGCTTGGTCTTTCATTACCCGAGTTCCTGCTCGTTGGCATCCTAAATTGGGGATGGTGTTTCTGCTTCAGATATCTTTTTCTAACCCCGTGCCTTGATGTAGGCCACAATTCTACAGCAGAGCACCCCACTCCTCCCTGCAAAACATAGCAAAGTCCTTTAAATTTTTGACAATTGACAAGTTAAAATATGTAAAAAATATTATTATATCTGTGTAATAATATTCAAAGAAGGTAAATTCAATTTTCTACTTACAACACAGCATAGATTAGGTGATTATTTTCTGGTTGCTTTCATCTAGACACAAACCCCGGAGCCTTCTAGAACCTCCTGGCAGATGCCTGAAGGACTCATCACCCATTGCATCTGCTCCTTGTCTGTGTCTGGTACTTTACACTGTGCACTACTGTGACAGGGTTCCCTTGGGCCGGGTGACCACATCGATGCCTCAGTTGATGCCAAGGGGCTGGGGAACATTATTCCAGTCAATTCCCACACTACGTGTTCAGGGAGGTTTTGATATAAGATATTTGCTTGTGGACAGATTAAAATGTATACCCCTTCTATAAGGTATAGGATGGGAAAATATCTGTAGGTATATCTGTCTTTATTGGAATTTTAAAAAGGAAATTAAAGTCTTTTTCTAAAGCACCAGTAATTTTTTTTTTTTAATTAAGGGAGGGTGTTTTAGCATTACCCAAAATTGCATGAAATGTTTTATTATTTGTTGGAGATATTTTGGGGGTGGTAGGGGTCAAATATCTATAGAGATATAGTTTACTACAACTTAAAATTGACCCAGAATATTGATTCTTAACTTGGGAATGCAGAAGAATGAGAGAGCCGAAGTGAAAATTATTTAAAAAGATGTATTTTAGTAGTATAAGGTGACAAGGTATTTCATTGTGTAGAGAATTTGTATATATATAATGGAAGTAATTTTCAGACAAAAACATGTACTGAATGACCATAGGTACGAGGTATTATGGGTCTGGACTGCTATGTAGATAAGGGGCTTGGGCCTTTGAATTTCCAGTCCTCGAGTTATCAAGAGAATACAGCTCTGAAGCAGATCTGGATTTTTACTGTATGGCAAACGTAACTGTTCCTGTCCTAATACATTGTCCACTCATTATCTCTTGGGTTCTCCTTTTAGCATGTGAGCTTCATGTGCTAACAGAAGAATGATAACTACTGACATCTTTATGTTATCCAGTAAACATAATAAGATTCTGTGTTCTCTTTTACCCCAACAGGTTGGTATCGAGGCTACACCCTCCAGAATAAATCTAAAAAGGTACGGCCTATTGTTGAATTGTTTATGTCTTTTGAACTGTCTGCAATCTTGTGTTCTCTGGTCTCCTTATCTGCTCTCTCTGGACCTAGTTTGCTTGCTTTTTGAGGCTTTTCTTTTGATCTAACAGCAATTTCTCTGACCTCAGTGCTCAGGAATAATAGTGTAAATCTCATGGACTGTGTTTCCCACCATCTGAAGCAAGGAAGAGGCCCTGGCTGGCCTCTGGCTCCCTGCCCCTCAAGCTGAGCAGGCTGGTGATGCAGAACAGTGCCCCAGGGGCATCTCTCAGAGAGGCCAGGACCACTTCTCCCTTCATCCTGCACTTTCAAGGCTCAGTCCCCCAATCGAAGGGCCTCCCTGTGGCCACTTGACTCTTGTCTTCATTGTCAGATGGACAGTTTTCAAGTCTGTCAGATGGACAGTTTTCAAGTCTGAGCCTCACTATCCTCACTATCCCAATAAGACATGATGAAATCAGTACAGTGAACCACCATTTTACAAAAACATGAAGTTGAAAAGCAGGGAAGAAAATGGGGCGCTGTGGTAAGTACTGTCTCGTGAAACTCTTGTCCTAGGTGTGTGTCCTGTTTTTCATGCATTGTTAATGTAGGTATTTGATGTGCAGGACTGGTCCACCATAAAAGTTCATCTCCTACTATTCATCCTGGGCAGAATTTGAAAAATACCCATCTAGACGGTTTCTTTTCCCAGTGTCAGAGCTACTCATTGTCAAGCTAATAAAACTGCTAGTAGTGTTAATACCCCCCTTGGTTTATTTTAGATCCCGTCAGCTCTGTGCCTTTGGTACGGCTTGCTGGGACAACATGCCATCTCAGCACTTTGTTTTGAAAGAGCAAAGTTGGTCGGGCCTTCTTATATCACCATTAGCTCAGGAGCCAGATAGCGAAATAGGGAAGGGGAGAGAGAAAAAGTTCTGAGTTTATCAAGAGGGAAGAAGAAAAGAAACAGGAAAAAGCAAACAGAAAACCTCCACAGTTCTCTTTCCTCAGACACAGCATGCAGTAGTCCCGTGCAGGTGGGCAGATGTTGAGCTCCCAAAGAGCTCAGAGGGGGTGACTCTCCAAAGAGCTCGGGACCCCAGAACACCTTCCTACAAGGTAGAAGCTCTGAAAAACGTTGATTCTTCAGTCACACTTGGTGTTTGCGCGCGCACACACACACACACACAAATGCACACACACAGTTTGCTTTGACAACTTAATAATGTAATCAAACAAAGGTGACATCTACTTTGACAGCTCCCTAGTGTGGAGCCTTCTGTCTCTCTCCAAACCCTGATGCTGAATTTTTCTACCTGCTGTTAGATTCTCATGTCTTCACTTGAAGATGAATTATTTTCATATACTCTCCTGTTGACCCCAGTGTCTCCGACGGAGGCAGGTGCTGGAGTGAATTAAACCGTGAGGTTTAAGGTCTAGGCTAGGACTCAGGTGCGGGGCTTGGAGGCAGGTTACCTGGCCAGCAGCCACTACTGCTTAGTTGGGGTTCAGCCCTGCTGGTGTTTGCACAAAAGGAGTTAATAAAACTTTGATGTTCTGAGTTTATTAGAGGGCAAAAATATGGAGGTCACTTAATTCCCAATCTTTTATTTTGTAAGTTAATTTTTAAAAATATAGAAGAGCTGGGACATAGCTCCGAGGTAGAGCCCTGGGTTCGATCCCCAGCCCTGCAAAACAAATAAGCAAACCAACAAAATTCCCAGATAAATTCACATGAAATGTCAAGAACAAACTGAAGTCTTGATTTTTAGCTGGTGAATACACACATGTTGACCAAGGTCCCAGACCGACAGGTTTTCCTTTTCAGAGTCTGTAAGGCTGCTTCACAGCAGAGAAGTGCTCGGATTCTGAGAGCTTCTGTGATTTCCTAATATACCCAAACCCACCTAGCTGCTGGTGCCCTGAGGTCGTCTTTGATGGACAGATGTCCCCCTAGGATGTAAATAAGTTTCAGATGTGCTTTAAATTTTTTTTTTTTATTCATTCAATAGTTCCTTGTTTAAGCTTAAAAAGTCACATTTCAGAAGAAATAGTTCAGGAAGCACTTCTCTTTGTTCTTGATAATTGAAGAACTTTGTGACATCCCGATGTGATGACCCCAGGTTAAAGCACCTTTCCTGTGGAGAGATCCAAGGAGAACGGACGGCAGGCCAAGTCCCAGCTCCTGAACAGGCTCAGCTTTCCACACCATTTCATTACGAGTCCAACCCATCAGCAGCGCTCTCTAGAGCTGTGCCCGCCTTCCTGTTGGGGAAGAGCTGCCTGAGGGCCTGTGGTCTTAATGGACATCCTCGGGGCCATTTATAATCAGACCTGGTCATTTAGAGTGGTGATGGGAGGAGCCAGTGGTTTTGTGAATTGAAGAAGCCAAGAGCTCTGTAGAAACTGGTTATTGATCCTGCAGGATCGTGGAGGGTGGATAAAGGCAACATCTAAACACCATTAGTTTTTTTTTTTTTTTAATTGAGTTGGCTGCATTAAGCAAGGAAAAGCAGGATTGAGAGACGGGCTATAAATCAGACATATATGACCCAAGTTTGCTCTGGCTTTTTTTTATGTGTCATCAGAAAAGCTCCATAAGCATCAGATTTACCAGAGCAAATTAAGTGGCTATACATGGTCAATGCCACCATGGCACCATGGAGCCTTCAAATGACAGGTTGGTAAGACTGATTTTCTCTCAGTCTGAACATCATGTCCGAACTCGAGCGTAGAACGTCGGCTGGTGATTGGTTTAGGTATCACAAACCGTCTCTGCTTATAAATCGGAACACTTCTGCCTTGGTGCTCTCCCCCTTGGGAAGGACAGAGCGGTCACCAGATTGAATGCATGACGATTTTAACTGGCCTTTTGCCTTCTTATTGAGAGTCCCTGCAAGGAAGATTCCTTTGGACTAGCAGTGTTACTTTTTTGGGGTGCTGCAGAGCAAACCCAGGGCCTCATCCAAGCTAACTTCTACCACTGAGCTATACCCCCAGCCACAGCAATGGCACATCTTGAAATTTCTACTCTGTAGTTACTACTGTTAAGCAGTTTAGCTCTTCCCAAAGCATTCCACCACCCCACACCCCATGCTTTTTAAATGAGTTCTGGACTTTTTGGGTGTGTGTGTGTGTGTGTGTGAAAATGCATGAAATTTCACACCTTTGCTGATTTTCAATGTGCAATGCAGTGACATTTAGGTACATTCATGTTGTCCTGCCTCCATGACCACCATCCACACACAAAGCCTTTTTACCTTCCCAACTGAAGCTCTGTACATGTGAAGCACTAGCTCCTCAGACCCCTCCCTCAGCCCCTGGGACCCAGTTCTACTTTGAGTCTAGCTGCTGCAGGTTTCTCATTTGGGACTCTCTGTGACTGGCTTGATACCACGTCCTCAAGGTGAGATCCAGAGAGCATGTCCGGGTCTCAGCTCAGCAGACAAGAGAAACACCCACAGTCCCTGAGGCATCCTGGGGACAGATGTGGAGCTTTGGAGTTCCATAAATCAGGACCCAAGCTAACTACACACACACACATTGAATGTTTAGGCTTAATTGCTTGGTCATTTTTCCAAAATTGCTCGCAGTTGGTACGTGTAAAGAAAGAGATGAAGTCGCCCAGTCTGTGTGTCCTTGGTCTTATCAGTCATGGGCCTGGAACACCCACATGACCCCAGCTGCCCCTCGCATAAAGCCAGGCCAAGGCCTGTACCTTCGCCTTGGTCCTGTCTGCCTGGCTGGGAGAGGGTGGGCCCTTGGGCGTCTGCCTGGAGCAGATGCAGGATCAACTCCGTCATCACCAACGCTGGGAGCCGCTTAATCCGAGATGTTCTTGCTGTTTCCTGTTTTACTGGCAGAGGATGAAAAGGGAGAAAGGAGAATATTGTACAGACAAATATAGTAGTGACGCTGGACCCAGGAGCAGCCCTGGGTGTACGTGGGACCCGAACCACCGTCCTCCGGGCAGCGCCCCTGAACGGAGTGTCCACGGAGTTCACACCAGCTCTTCTGGGAGCTGAGCCAAGGTGTCCCCCGGCAGGCTCTCCTCTTCCCTGGTCTGGCCTGGCACGGAAGCTGCCCTGTGCCCAGCAGTGCCTTCTCCAGATGGCATCTTCTCTCTTGGCAGAGGGAGCGTATTGCACTGTGAAAGAGGAGCTCTTGGAATTTAAGAAAACCCTCGGGAACGAGGTGCTTCCTGTTGGTAGACCGGATCGATCCTCGGTCCTCTAGTTTCTACTCAGCAGTATTAATGTCTTTCCCCTTGGTCCTCCTGGGCCTTAGTGTCCCCTGTGGGCAGTTTCGCAATACCGACATAGAATTGCCTTTTACGGGTGCAGAAGGCAGGGCGTTGAAGGTTGGGAAGTGCTGGGAATAACCAGGTAACTGGTGTCTGGTTTGGGATGCATTTGGTTTAAGTGAAAGTGCTCAGAGGAATGGCTTCAGGAAGTCACAGTCACTTTAGGAGCCCAGGAGCTGGTCCCACAGAGCTGTCTGACTCACTCACTCTGTGGGATCCTTTAACGAGAACCATCTCGTGCGTGTTGGCTGTGAAGGGGTTTTTTTTTTGAGGCTCTCTGGTAAACTCCTTGCCACCATTGGAGCTCTGAGCTGACAGGGACCAGTTTGCCTCTTGGTTTATGAAACGGGAGTCCTGTGCTCTCTGAGCCCAGATCTTAATTTCTGCCTTTTCAATGTTCCATCCACACGTTTGTTGAGGTAGCCTGTCACTGTGGCTGACATCCTGCAAACCTGAGCAGAAAACTTCCTGTCCTCATGGTGTCCTCAGTCATTCCTGCGACCCTTGGTGCATTAGACCTTGGACTGAGGTTTTTTTATGGTCTTAATCACTACCGTTCTTCTCTCCATAGGGTATTTTTCCTGAAACCTATATCCATCTGAAAGAGGCAACTGTGGAAGACCGAGGGTAAGTTCCAGTTCAGGAAGACATGGTGACAGGGTGCCTTGCACACTCACATTACTCCCATCTCCTTGGCTCCACTTCTCCTCTGAGAGGGACAGGATTAGAACACTTCCCTGATGTAATTCCTTGCTGTGTCTTAATGGTTCCTCCCTTGCATCTTGCTGATGACTGGTAGCTGTCATCAACTGAGGGCCTGGGCCCCTCCTTGTATTTACTACCTGCTCACTGTGTGTGTGTGTGCACGTGCTCATGCATGAACATGTGGGGCTCTTTAGCTGAATCTGAGAAGTTCCCAGTCTGGAATCTTTGCAAGGGAGAGGAGTAAGTGGCAGTCTGTATGGATCAGCTCTGAAGCAGGGACTCATTCCTGAGCCAGGGACACATCCCGAGCCTACTGTGTACCTGGGTTTTTCACTGCACACTGGGGACAGCCGTCCAGCTCTGCAGGGGTTGCTCATGGGCCTGATGTGAGATTCCAGTGACCTGATAGGTGTGAATGTGCTCTGCACATCACATCTGCTGAGGTTCATCTTGTCCCGTTTTTTTGCCTGTCTCTTTTGTACTGAAAAGTACTGCCTTTGTGACACCCAAGAAAATGATATTCAGCCAAACCGGGAAAGAAGCAGGGAGCTCTTGAGTCTCCAGGCCGGAGAGTTAAGGAGACAGTCAGAAGTGGGCCTGGAATCCATGGCTGGCAGGGGAGGAGGGGGCTGGGTCTCAGAATTATGCAGCCTCAAAGCCAGAAAGAACTTTCTCCATCCTAAGCTCAGCACCCTCATCTGAAGGCAACTTCACACAACTCTTTGATGGCGGAATTGGGACCAAAAGCCAGGTGTCTTGCCCTCTTGGAGAAGTCATCTTTCCAGTGGGCCATCCTGGGCAGACTCCAGATGTCATTTGCCACATTGGTGGAAAGGCAGAGTAGGAGGCCCGTTGTACCCAACAGGGCTGCCAGGTAAACTGCAGAAAGCCCTGGTAAATTTACAACTCAGAGGCTCAGCTTATGATGGGGTTAGGTCCCCATAAACCTGTTGCAAGCTGAAAATGTTGTAAGTCAAAAATGCATCTCAGACATCTAACCTGCATGTCTTAGTCTGCCTTCTCCCATTAGCCCGAGTTGGGAAAAATCATCTATCACAAAGCCTGTTTTATAATAAAGTGTTGACCATATGGATATGCATTCAGACCTTCATAAAGCTGTGAAATAGGAAGTTGAACCTCATAAGCCGGGGGCCCTCTGTGATTCCCATAGTAAGTGTGCCCCAGGTGTTTCATGAGTCATATTCATCTTGAAACACTTCCTTCACTCTGTCTGGAGTTTGCTCACATTTGTTTGCTGGCAATTGCTCTTTCTTTAGCTCATGATAGAAATACTGGAGGGGATTTATGTTAGGAAAGGTAGTGGAGTAACTGTGAGGATTTTTTTGTGTTTTCCATGCTGTGAAGCAGCAGGTGAGAAGCGGGTGCTGCCCCAGTCCCTGCTGGAAAGAGGTGGCTGAGGTCACAGTGTCCGGGATGTTCACGCCAGGCACACTCTCTTCCTGTCCTCCCTGGTGGAACCAGTGAACACAATGTTTTTCTCACTTACATTTCTGAGAATTACTGAAGCCATCATGAGGCCATATGGAGGGGTGGAGTCTGCAGAACCTGAGCTCAGGTGGGGGACTGTGCTGTTCTGAAATGCTTCCTTTGTCTCAGATGAGGGTAAGTGTCCTACCCGACACACGCTCCCTCCACGCGCAGGTTTTGCCGATTTCAAGCCGGAGCGTCCCCATTCCTATCTTGCATTTGGGGAATGTCGTCTAGAAAAGCACTTCCGATCACCCCACGGTAAAAGGAGCGTCTGTTTGGTTCTCTCAGGCAGAACGAGACCGTGATCCCTGGGGAGCTCCCGCTGGTGCAGGAGCTCACGTGCACTCTGCGAGAATGGGCTGTCATCTGGCGCAATCTCTACGTGGTGAGTGTCCCTCCAGGGCTGGGGCGTAGCAGTGGCCATTCCTGGGCCCTCAGCCTGTCTGTCTGTCCTGCTCCAGAGGCGTCCTCTGCAAGGTGTGGGCTTCCGAGCAGCTGTCTGTGTGGAGGGAGATCCCTCTTTCCTGGACCACACAGTGGCTGGCAACCGGCTGATTCTCATTTCCCTGGAATTGGGTCAGTGATATGGGATCGTAGAGGGAAGTAGGTGTAATCATTAATTAATTCAGTCTTTTCTCAGCTGCAAACATGCCAATTGTGAAAGTAATAATGATAGTAATAACTGCAGATGCTTACCTAATCCCTCCTCCGTGCCCGAAACCACTGCGGATCCTTACAACACTCCTGTAAAGTATGTGCAATTACAGTTATTAACCCACCAGTAAGGAGCCTGCGGGGTCACTGAGCATCTCCGCCTGCACCATGAATACAAAGGCATAAGTGTTTCAGTGCTCAGCCACCTGAGGGTGACCTTCCTAACCACCTGACCTTACAGACTCCGCAGTGTTCCTCTGTGGGCAGGGCAGGCTTCCACGCATGGCAGAATGCTGCTGTCTGTGCTGGTTCAGTGGGAAATTACACAGGGACCTGCACAGCCTCTGTGATAGACCATTATCATAAAATGCATGTGGGTTTGCAGTCAGGGCTGCTGTGATGCGGATGTGGTTCGTCCCCCTGAGACTCATGTTGGAGTTTCATTCCCATTGTGAGGCATTAAGCGGGAGGGACCTTTGGGAAGTGATTAGGATTCAGTAAGGTCATCAGTGTGGGGCCCCATGATTGAATAGTGACGGCTTTATAAGAACAGAGACCAGGGTTGGGAGTGGTAGCGGGAGTGGTGGCGCATGTCTGTAATCCCAGCGGCTTGGGAGGCTGAGGCAAGCGGATTGTGAGTTCAAAGCCAGCCTCAGCAAAAGCAAGGCTCTAAGCAACTCAGTGAGACCCTGTCTCTAAATAAAATACAAAATAGGGCTGGGGATGTGGCTCAGTGTTCAAATATCTCTGAGTTCAATCCCTGGTACCCCCACCACCACCACACACACAAAAAAGAAACAGAATAGAGATGAGAAGGTAATCACTTATGTGTTCCTTGTCTCTTACCTTGTGATGCTCTGATCTGCCATCACCAGATTTAGCCCCTCGGCCTTGGAGCAGAACTGTAACCAACACAGACCTCTTTTCTTTATAACGTATCCAATCTGTGGTATTTTGTTACTAGCAACAGAAAACAGGCTAGGACTAGGACCCAGTAAATCTAGCAGGGAATATTACCAGACTGAGAGCAGCTATATTGCAATTGGCCAAGGATGTTCAAGGTCCATTAGCAGCATGCCTAGCTCGTCTCCAGTTCAGGAAGCTGTTCTTCAGTGCTGGAATCCACGAAGACTCCTCCCTCCCTTCCTCCCTCCCTGCCTCCCTCTCTTCCTTCCTTCCTTACTGTGGACTGAATCCAGAGCCTCCTGCATACTAGGCAAGTGCTGTACCACTGAGCTACACCCCCTGCCCTTTCAGTTTTGAGACGGGTCTCACTAACATGCTCAGGCTGGTCTAGAACTTGCCCTCCTCCTGGCTCAGCCTCCCAAGGCCTGGGATTGCAGGTGTGCACCACTGCACCTGGCCTACACAGACTTCTCTAAAGTTACCTCTTTCCTGAACATCTGTTGGTGAGTACCACTTGGTCTTCACCTCTGCAGATAGCCTGCAGCTTCCCTGGCTAATCAGGACGTCGCATGATGAATTCCCATGTGAATGAGTTCAGTGAGGTCATGGACGAGGGAGGATGGCCCAGGAGCTATTCTCTTTTCTTCCTGTGACTTTGTTTTTATTCAGGTTCTTGTCTGGTCTTTCTGCATTTTAACTTTCAAAGGCCAGTGACGCACACCAGTAATCCCAGAGACTCAGGAGGCTGAGGAGGAGGATTGCAAGTTTGAGCCCAGCCTGGGCAATTTAGTGAGATCCTGTTGTAAAATGAAAGAGTTGGGGATTCAGCTTGGTGGGAGAGCATCCCTGGGTTTAATCCCCGGCACCGCCACGCCCCCCTATACCCCAGCCAGCCTTACTAAGTCACTGAGAGCCCCATCCTAGGTCCTCTGTGCCAACAGCAGTAACCACCCCGCATGGTAGTGTAAGTTCCAAGAGATCCTGTAAGACACTTCATTTCCATTCAGCGCCGTCACTTCCCATGACAGATTACAGCAGTAGAAATCACCAACCCCTTCCGTGGAAAAACATAATGTTCCTCTGTCTGCCCAACCTTCAAAGCTTCATTTAAGCCCTTTCTTCTCCATAATGTGTCTTCAGAACACACTGATCCGTAACATTTCCCTCTGGGCTATCAGAGTACTCTCTGTTGCATGTGGTCTGACCCTTGGGGGATGCAGCCTCTGATCTCTCTCTGGCCAGTTTAGGAGAGAGCTCACTCTCACTTCCTAAATCATCAGCTCTGGGAGGATGGAGATGCTGCTGTTAGCCCTGTGGCCTGCATTGATCATCTGGCACTTACAGAAAGCACTCTCTGGCCCTGGTTAATTGATCAGTTAGTGGCTTTAAGTGGATGAGGAATTGCATATATGTGCCTTGGTTCCTTAGCATGCTCTTTCTGGAAGTGGGTGAGTGATGAAACATATTGCATAAGAATAGATGCATATCCCTGCATTGTCTGTTTTCTGTTACTGTCATGAAACACTTGAAGCAGGTAACTTATAAAGAAAAGAGATGTATGTAGCTCACAGTTCTGAAGGTTCAAGGGCCTGAGGCCAGCATCAACTTTGGACTTGTGAGGACCTCATGGCAGATGGCCTCCCAGTGGTGGGAGCTTGTGTGACAAAGGGAGTGTCCACATGGCAAGACAGGAAACCAGAGCATAGGGAGGGGCCCCATTCTTTTTATAGCAAGTCCCTTGAGATAACTGACTGGGCCTCACAGAAGTACATCAATGCCTGCCAGGGGTGATACTCTCAGTGACCTCACACAAGGCCCCACCTCCTGGAGGTTCTACCATATGGGGTGGGGGGCGGGGGTTCCAGAACATGAACCCGTGGAAGACAATCTCAAACCATATTTTAGGAAACCGTAGTCACCCCTGATCTCCAAATCCAAATTGCTGCAGAACCTGAAACTCTGTAAGCACCCACATGACACCCTGAATGGGAAGTTCCACGCCTGAGCTCCTGTGGGAACCTTTGTTTCATGCACAACACTGTTAAAATATTCTATTATATCATCTTTAGCCTTCATGTAAAAGGCGATGGGAGGCATAAACAAATCTCATGTTTTGACTTGGATGCCAGCCCCCAAGGTACCCCATTTATGTATATGCAAATATCCCCCAATCCAAAAGCAACCCAGAACCTCTCTGGTCCCAGGCATTTCTTGTCAGGGGTAGTCAGCCAGTGTTGGAAAGGAGGTGCCTTGGTTTAAGACGTCGGGGAAGAGTGGAGAGTACGAATGAAGGGAGCCTTTCTTTCTTGCTGAAGTGTCACCGTTCATTTATAGACCCACGGACGTTCATGCCAGGTGTGTGTTAAATGGAACTGAGAAGTAGGGGTGAGGCTCAGGGGTAGAGCACTTGCCTAGCTTGGACGAGGCCCTGGGTTTGATCCCCAGCCCTAAAAAAATCAATAAATATGGGCTGGGGTTGTGGCTCAGAGGTAGAGAGCTCGCCTAGCATGCGAGAGGCACTAGGTTCGATCCTCAGCACCACATAAAATATATTGTGTCCACCTATAACTAAGAAAATAAATATTAAAAATAAATAAATAAATAAATAAAGCAAGCCATCCCCTCTCAGAGGGCAGCATGTGGCATATCTTAATTTGGATGTATCTAATAAATATTTATTTAGTTGTTTGGGAATATTTTAAGATGACTGATAGCTGCCACTGATTGACATGAAGACATTGATAATGAGCTGAGTCAGTCAATGGGGCTAAGTGATCTCCTTCTGCTTGTGATGGTGCCTGCTTATCTGTTAGGGAAGAATCCGCTTAACATGGCTTGTTATTAACTGTGACTTTCTTTCTTCCAGCCCCTTACCAACATGAACAGTTTACTTCAGGCAGAATTTCTAACCTTCTTTCTCAAAAAAATTCACAAGTCAAAATAACCAACCTGAAATATCATATTTCCACTGGGAAAAAACAAAAAAGGAAAAACTGAATCTCCAGTTTCCTTGTCCCACCCGCCCCATAGATTTTTATTAGTGCTTTTGTTTTCTGCTCTGTGCCCGAGTTCCTTGAGTCCATGTAAAGAGGAATACAGATTTTACTGCTACACCTTCAGACGGGAATCAGGTTTCTCTTCTATTTGCCCCTTCAAATTATGAGACCAGGCATTTTGCTTGATGTCTTTAATAACTCCTGTGATGCCTTATAAACCACTTATTAATAAGTTTCCTGGTTCTGTTCTGTGCCGTCTACATTTTCTGGACCCAGGGTCTTCCCTGAGGGAAATGCACTCCACTAACCAGATTGAGCCCAGCTGCGTAGATACTGATACTTACTCTAGAAAGGAAGGGCATTCGTCTGGTGTGATGGGTTTTCAGTAGCCCTACAGTGATATTCATAGAATATATGTTTTGCGAATTTACTGTGAAATAATCATAAATGTGTCCTAAGTGGGCGGGGCCTACGCTGCAGGAGGGGCACTCCCTGTGCTAAGTAAGAGGGGAACCCCCTGCCCCGAAAGAGGAGGGAATGGCTCCCGGCCTTCCCTGGCAGTGTTATTGTCTTCTGTTGAATTACCTTGGTGGGAGGGTTTGGCCTTGTGCCGGGGAGGAAGCCGGTGGCCCAGAAAGCAGGGCTGGGTTTCTTCTGCAGGCCCTGTCCTGAGAAGCCCTGTGGTCATGAGCAAGTCACTCTAGGTCTCCAAGCCTCTGCTGGATTCCTGCCCCCACTGTCAAGCTCCCTCTTGACCCAGAGCTGCAAGACCTGGGAGCGATGGTGGCTGTGAAACCCTTGTGCAGACCGGCCCCAAGGACTCTGTGCA